AGATAGAGAACATAATAGGAATAACAATCGCACTTGATTATTACAAAGGAAAATCATAATTCAGTATCTGCTGACAAATCAGAGCATGCTGGTATTTCTTTAAATAAATGATTAAAAATGCCACAAAAATATAATAAGTGCTTTAAAATTCTTAAATTCATATAAGTGTAAATCTTAGTGTTTTTGAAAATGCTACTGTATTTTGTTATCGAGCATTTTTGAATCGCTAGTGATTACAATAACAATTTATGAATAGTGAAAACTTAAATTATTCCAAGAGAATTGATTAATAAATTTCATACAGTAAATAAATCATTGGGCTGCAAAAGTATGCAGATATATGACAACCAATAACAGAAATAAAAATAAAATCTTTAAAAATTTTATAAAGTGGCGAAGCATGCAAGAGCTATTTATTTATCTTGTAAACAATACATTTTCAGTAGAATCAGTACTTTAAAAAATTGATATACTTTGGAAACATGCTCTGCAATGTAGTTGTTTTGTGATGAAACTGTTGATAGTGATGCTTTGATAATGCTTTTGTTGATTTGCTCCACACAGTAAAACTGTAGAATTTATGTATACATAGCTCTTGCTTTTATGTATGGATGCAAATTATACAGCTTTTAATTTTTCATGAAACTTGCATACATATTAAAGTCAAGCGACTTTTCAGAATATTACAACATTATAAATCTCACACCTTGAGATTACTAAGGCTTATACACAGATTTCAAAGGAAAGAGTTTGTAAAGTTGTATAAGGGCCTTATTATTATTGATATAGACACAAGTATATAGTTTTCATTAATTAACACATTGTTATTGATGAAGATCTCTTTAATGATTCTTACATAAAGCTATTTGGATTTTTTTCCAGAGGAAAAACAAAGTTTCATTTAACCTGCGAGCACACACGCACCGATCCGACGAACACTAGAACACGCGCCGGGTATGTCATACCCGAATAAAACGTTTGTAATTAAAAATTTGCCGAATAAAATTAATCGATTTTTAAAAGAAATTAAAATGTAAAACCAAGTTAATACTTCATTTTAGACAAAATATGAAAGAATAAGGAGAGGTAAAATTATTTACTTACAATATTTTGAACATTGTTTACAAAATGAGGTCATATGTTCCATACATATACTCGTACTTTTGCTACAATTTTCACAAATGTATCTAGTCTTTCTATCTTTTTTCTTGGGGCACTCTGTACACCTCTTGTAATTTTAGGTTTTTTGGGGGGTGGTTCATTGTTAACATGTTCATCGGTGGTCAGTGTTTGTCTAGAATCAGGAACTACAGATGCTCGTCGTCGTTCATTTTGAACACTTTCTATTAACTGCATCCCTAAGGCTTTGAGAAAAGTACGCCTGGTATGGTATTCCGTTGGTAGTTCCTTCTTTGATAGTAGAATTATTCTTGCATTAATGGCAGCCACGTTTAACACTGAAAAGAAAATCACCATAGGCCATCGACGTGCTACTCTTGCTGTAGAATACGCAGCTGCCATCTCATCTACAACATCGACTGCTCCTTTTGTCATGTTATATAATGTAATGATTTCAGGCTTTTTAGATTCCCCAGTAGATTCATCGATTTGATCGCCGGAATGCATTGTGGATAACAGGATCACACTCTTATTTTTTTTCGGCACATAAGATACAAGTGTTGCTTCTTTCTGAAAACCGAAAATTGAAGAATATACTTCTCTTTTCTCTGCCAGAAACTCAGGTGGGATTTCTCTCTCATTTTTACGCATTGTACCTACTATCGTAATTTTCTTCTTTAGGAGATCTTGAGATAATTCAAATCCCATATACCAATTATCAACTGTTAAATTTCGACCAGAGTTGTATAAGGGCCTTATTAAACGTTTGACAACTTCGCTTGCACCAAATTTTCAACTTGAAATGGCCCATCTGGTTGTTTACCAGCATAAATTTCCATACTCCAGGTATAAAATACCCTTGCGTCTACAAGAGCAAATATTTTTATGCCATACTTTGCTGGCTTGTTGGGCATATTTTGTTTGAAGGAACAACGACCTCTGAATGATTCCAACTTCTCATCAATGATCACATACTCTCCTAAAGTATAAGCCTTTTGGCAATTTGTGACAAAATTTCCAAAAAATTCTCTGATCGAAGCTAATTTATCAACGTCTCTTCTACTGGGACGATCTCTAATGTCATCAAAACGGAGGCATCGTAAAAGAAAGAGGAATCGGTTCATTGACATTTATTCCCGAACTATGTCCATTCCCGTTCTGCCTGTTGCCCACAAATCTCTTACGTTCACATGGGATGATTTATAAACTCCACATAAATACAGCAATCCAATTAAAGCTTTGATTTCCAACTCATTTGTTGCTTTCGCATCCCGTTCATGAGTGAAATTTCCACGTACAATCAATATAAATATTTGTATTGTCGACTACATGTTTTAACATATCTTCATCGATAAGCAGTGACCAGGAATCTAAAGGTGTTGAGACGTCTTTAGAATACTTCGTATTTCTAGGGAGTTTAGTTATAATATTTTTGGCTCCAATTCTAACATTAGTCCGGAATTTATTTTTGTTCCATTTTACTCCATTTTTTCCAACATAAAACTCATTGCTACATTGCAAAATTTCCTTTTCTGTTTCTGTATCTGAATCACTACTCTCTATGGATGAATCATGATGACTATTATATTCTTCGTCATCAACATCTTCATCGTCTTCACTAAATGAATCCTCATCAGAAGAAACTGTTTTAAGAATATTTCTCAATCTTTTCATCTCTTCATCGTAAGGAATATACGGCGTCATGCTTACAACTCAAGAAAAACCTATACTTGAAAAAAAAAAAGCTTGAAAACGAGAAGTGCGAAGTGACTCACTGAGAAACATGAGTACACGCGCGGGTATGAGATGCCCAAACAATGCTGTTCCTAAAAAACCGTTGCACCTGTCACCTTAGGAATTTCCCGCATTTAAGTATGTGGCCTTGAACTCAGCTACACCAAGTTTCGTCCTTTTATGAAAGAATAAGTGATAAATATACAAAAAGAAAAATGCCCATGGGTATGACATACCCATTGCGTGTGCTCGCGGGTTAAGAAAATAAACCATAGAATATTCTTAATTTTATTATAAACTTTCATTACATCACATGAATCTGTAAACACTGAACTAATCGTTTTCAATTTAAATCACAAATGTATTCTTCATATTGATTTATTGACAGTATGAATAATGACCAAAACTTAATATTATCTGTATATAATAAGAAATCATTGATACATAGGGTAAAAATAAGCATGAAGTTAGACTATATTAGCATGCTAATGGATCAACTAATGGCAAAAGACTTAAAAAACTTTACCTAATCATTTGTACAAGATTATTTAATGAACACAAAATGTATAGGAGTTACTCCAACCCTTTTTTGACCGCAGACACATTCTAACATATATTTTGAGATCTTGTACCCTTATGACTCAACATTCAAGCAGATTTCAGGCATGATAGACTTTTAAGTGCTTCTTTGTCATGAAATTATCTTATGATCATTTCATTCAACTACTACAAATCAAGGAAAGGAGAATTAATTACCAGTGTTTTATACTTTTAGCCACTTGATAACGTTACATAATATGGATTAACTCAAAGCAAATTCTACTGATTATAATCAGATAATTGCATATCTCTTCTGAGAATTTAGATTCTTCCGCATTCATTTCTTTGCAGATCTTGCTCTAAATGGATTTCAATACATATTTACCACTAATAATCGCAAATGATAATAAATAACAAATTAATTAATTTTTATTCTAAACATGATTTGGGGTAGTTGCATAGGCGTTTTCGTGTTTTTCCTCATGTGTAATGTGTATATGAGCCAGTTTCCCTTAGAAAGTTCTCCAGGAAGCCATCCTTCCTTGTAGGCAGTTAGCTCTCGAGTGTTTTAATCAAATAAAAACATATTTTTAAACTACAATATCAAATTTTGTATTTTGTCCTTATTTATTTCACTAAATAATTAAAGTCCTCTTTAGTACATACACATATCAGGCGCTATTTTATCTTCATTTACAAAATAAAACAGTTGAAGCAGTAGTTTTAGGACTTTTCTCTCATGGGGAAAAAATATCTGCATTTAATCCATTTGCTTTATGAAAACTGAAGTTTTCATACCAAACGAACTTCTTACAATATAACCTTCCTTACGAACTCTCTTATTTACCATATAAACCATTTCGGATCTTTGCTTTGGTAAATGGTCTAAGGCCTTTTACCAGTATATGGCTGTCATAATCCCTAAGGAAGCATATTAGAAAAACAAAACGGTCAGCTATACGCAGGGTTTAATTTCAAAAATTAGAAGTACCAGAGCCCGTATAGAAGACCTTCAGGAAAGAGGAACAAGAATAAATAAGAGAATAAGATGACTAATCAAATCATTAACAATTAAAAAATTAAATAATTCATTATTAAAAAAATTAATGGTTAAAGTTAAAGTAATTAAATAATTAAAATTTAATAGTATGCAAAGTGATAAATTAGAATTTAATAAGCAATTTTTAATATAATTTTATTATTAAAAATAAAGTTTCCAAGACCAGATTTCTACTGAAATTATTGTTCAGTTACATAAAAGAAGTGCTAAAGCCTTCTTATTTAGGGCTCCGGCTAAAATTATGAATTTTTCCTAAAACTAAGAAGTATCGGAGCCAGCCTCCGGTGGGCTCCGACGCAATTTAAGCCCTGGCTATACGGATATCTTGGTAAAGCAAGAGAAGAACCCATCTTTGGTCATGACCAAACATGGCGCATGATGTGTTTTGATTGTAAACCACATGAGAGGCGGAGTTTAAATACGTCAAAATGACGTCACCAAAGCCAACCAATCAAAATTTCCTGCCAAGTTGAAATTTAGTCTCACCCCAAACTACTCGTATATCCCAGATAAGTTTATGGATTTCATTCTATGAAACAGTGTAAAAAATGGCAACACTTCTCACATGAATTGTAAACATCATGGCTAATGAAAGTGTTGCTGTTGTAACACCTGGAGATTGTATATGCATTGCGAATGAAAATTGTACATCGGGTGATGGTACTTATTGTATAGGCGAATATATATTTTCTAGTTTAACTGGATTTGTTGATTACAAAGATGATAAAAACAATAGAATAGTTGAAGTTGATAAGGGTTTTGAAAGAAGCCTCGTTCCTGTTGTAGGATCAGTAGTTACAGCTAAAGTAACTGCAATAAGGCGACGGTTTGCAAAATGTGCTATATATTGCATCGAAGATACGGTCTTAAAAGAACCTTTTCGAGGTGTACTTCGAAAAGAAGACGTGAGATTGAAAGACAAAGATAGAGTAGAAATGTATAAGTGTTATAGGCCTGGTGACGTTATATTGGCTAAAGTTGCATCGATGGGAACTATGCACTCATATAATCTTACAACGGCTGAAGATGAACTGGGAGTAGTTTTAGCAACTAGTGAAGCTGGAGCTGAAATGGTACCTACGAGTTGGTCGGAAATGATGTGTACAAAAACATTCTTGAAAGAACTTCGGAAAGTAGCCAAAGTTGTACCACAGAACTTCACATCAAAGAATTTTAATAAATTGCAAAAGGAATTTGAAATTTCTTAAGAAATAAATTTTATTATAAAATTAAATTGTCCTTTATTTTATATAAACTTTATATTTGATAAAAATCCAAGTGAATGAAATTAATAAAAAATGGTCTGATAAAGGTAAGAAGTTTTTTCCTTTATGTATATTTTCCTTAGAAAGTTCCTTTTTTTCTATATACACTGTTTTAAATTTAGAGATATTTTATGCAATGAAAAATTTTGGAGAATGAAAATTGTACTTTACTCAAAAAATATAGTGAATTCACAGAAATTAAAGATTTCCATATGACGGAAATGAAAAATATTAAATATGTATGGGTATTTATGCATGTGCTTCCAAAAAGCATGTATCTGCCTTTAACAAAATACGTAAATATTTATTATATTTATTTATAAATGTATTTGAAATGAAGGATTTATTCATTCATAAAGAACTGTGAAAGTTACTGTGAAGAAATCTAATTATTAAACGTATCTAAATTTATAATGATTATAAATATTATCTAAATATAAAATAATCTTAACATTGAATTGTAAACATAAAATGACATCCTGTTGACAAATACGATATAAAACTATTTAAGCAAGAATTGTTCTGGAAAGCAACCTGTTAAAAGGTATTGTAAAGCAATTTCTATGAGATGTGTATTTAAGAAAGTAATAAAGAAGAGTTTTGTTTTGGAATATGTATTGTTGAAATTAAGGGTAAAAAATCTAATAAGTATAATTAAAAGAATTATTCCCCTTATATTTTATAATAAGTCAGTTACAAGTTTTAAATAATATTTAAAAAATAATCCTTACTTTTAGAAATATTCAGAGAAAGTTAAGTACTATTTAAAGTATTTCGCTATTAAATTAAAAGGTGCTCTAATTTGAAATGGACTGAATAGAGCATTAATTATAAACTGACTTATAGTTTTCGATTTAAAACATGCCTTAGAAGCTAAAAAATCACGTCATATTTGAGAAAGTATTTTAGGAAGAAGCTCTATAAATAGAAAAGAAATAATGCATAATTTTAATAATACAATAAACTTTGATCTTAATTTTTGTAATCCTCAACCGAATCAAATCAAATTACCTTAAATTTTTTTTTCTAATGTAATTAACGAAAACTTGTAAATTAAACCATTCTGAGCAAACTGTTCTGTGAAAAGTATAGCATTTAATTCCCTTTAGAATGAAATGTTGTTTAAAAATGTATTCTTTTCATTTACTTAGGACTCTGAAGTATTGTAGAAAAAGAAAATATATACAATTATATGTATATTTACGACGTAATTACAAAATATTTACATCTGATTGTGTCAAAATCTATTGAACTCAATGGTAAATTACCCAATGTTTTGGTCAACAAAGAAGGGATCGCCAGTGCTTCAAAGCAGGGTATGGGTAAACCGGTTTAGGGCTACTCCATCTAACTTCCTACCTCCATGACAAGAACGGAATGTGTGTCCTTGCGTTTCACTAAATATTAACATCTAATTACAAAGAATTGAAACCAATTTACTTCCGCTACCTTTTTTAACTTGATCAGGTACATAAACTTTTGATATATTATATTAAAGTGATCTCTTATATTATTTACATCTATTATATTAAAGTGATATCTTTCGAGTTGCTGATAATATTAACAATATGTGATATTGATTCCATTAAATAAAACTCATAAATATATATTTTCCATAAGTACAGTACAAAGTCCAATATCCAGAATGATCTAAAATCTGGGCCTCTAGACTACAGGTGATGTTAAAAAAAATTTTTTTTCGTATGATTTGCACATGTGGTTTTGATATTTTGTTTTTTATTGTGATGACAGTGCCCCGTTAAACTAATGAATGGCGATACAGTCAAATACCGAAAACCCGTCAATTCCTGAAATCCGCGTTGCCTCTTAAAATATAAAAATTTAGTTTATAGGTTCTGGAAACCGCTACATGGAGTACAAAATATTGAATAAAAATACTTATTGGATAATGATATAATACCAAATAATAATGAGTCATACTGGAAATACCAAATTATTGACGTCATGATAAGAGTTTTTTTTCTCTCCAATCTGCATCGAGGTAAAAAAGATGATTAACTCAACTCTTCTTTCAAGTTCGCGCCTCACACTGTTGTACTTTCTGAACTTTGTTATTTCACGAGAATTTTTAGTGATGTTGTCTTTTTTGATCCGGATATTTTGTGAATAAAATTAAATATGTTTTTAATTTCAGCGCTACTGCTTGCAATGTTGAAAAACATAAACACGTTACATTGACGGTAATGAAAAAAGTGGAAATTCAGCTAAAGATGGAGGCAGGTGCTACTGTAGCAGAATCGTATGGAATTGTCACATGGACTGTGTATGATATCCGGAACAATAAAGAAAAGCTGTTGAAATTTTACAGCAACAGTGATTCTAATACCAGAATCCGAAATTGGAAATCTTTACATGAGACGAAATTGGCAAACTTTGATGCTGTCATGTACGAGTGGTTCCAGCAGCGGCGGAGTGATGGGGTACCTATTTCAGAACTACGCCCGACAGAAAAGCGGAAGCAGATTCATACTGATTTTAAAATAGAGGCGCCTAATGTAAATGAACAATATAATACAGTACAAAGTCCGTAATCCTAACGTCCATTATCCGGAATGATCTATAATCCGGACTTCAAAGTCACAAACTTATTTTCTTTCGGTATGCTTTACACATGCACGTAATGTGTTTATGCATGTGCGTAGTGCATTTATGCATGCACGTTTAATGTATAACGGACTGTATAAGCTAGGCTAAAATTATCTTTTACTGATTCCAAGACATTTCAGTTAATGTTGCAGATTGCGCTGTTCCTTAGTCTTCTAATTGGATCCGGCTTATTATTTTTTGCAGATTGTTAGAGCAATTTTATAAAAATTAAGCTTGAACTTTCGATTATGTCAAAAAGAGTTTCCAATTCTGGAGCTGCCAAAGGATCTACAAAGCGAAACCATGTTTCGAATGTCCATCAAACAAAAAGTGGAATTTCTGCAAAAAATGGATAAAGGCATAACCGTCTCAAAATTATGCAAGGAGTATGGCATTGGGTGACACAAGAAAAAAGAACTTTTTTAATTTTTTGTGGAAGCATCTTAAACAACTTACATTGAAAGAAATGTTTAATAAAATAAATAAATATTAAGCTTTTTTTTGTAAATTTTGATACCCTTTAGATCATAATTGCTCTTTATTTCATAAATTACTGTTTCATATTTTTAATTGTGTAATTTCTGCATGCCATCTTACCAGATTTAAATTGATGATCTATAATCCGGAATCGTTGAAGTCCCGACGAGTCCGGATTACGGACTTTGTAATGTATAATCAGTTTATATATGTTATGTAATAATAATTTAATACATATAATTGATTATTGTATTAATGTGTATAATAATTTAATTAAATGTATCTAATACGCCTTATTTATTTTGCACTTTTAGTCTGAATATTATCTTTTCTGTACTGAAATCGTAAAATCTGCACAACCTCTGGTCCCAAGCGTTGCAGATTTCTGGACTTTATTTGTAGTATAGTTTTAAATTCAGAAAGTACTGCTACCAGTAGTAAAGAATGATACAAGAGATGATACTGAGAAATTAAAAAATTTGATTGACAATTTAGTGCAAATTCTTGGCACAGCAATTATAGGACCTTGAACAATGGAGTTTTGTAACTAAACATGAAATTCTGCCTATCTGTAGAAATAAATTGAAAATATTAGCACAAAAAAATAAAGCAACTTAAAATTGCATTGAAAAATTAATAAAGCAAACAATATTGAGCTTTTTTTTGTAAATTTTGATTCCCTTAAGGGTATAAATGCTTTATTATTTCATAAACCACTGTTTCATATTTTTAGAATTCTACCTGTCAACTTAATAGATTTTACTTACAACATGATCTATTATGCAGAATCAAAGTCCTGACTTGCTATTTGGCAGCATGATGTTTAAGATGACAAGTACAGCATTCTGATTATTTTATATTATGTACCAGTTATCTATATTTCAATCAGTTTGTCTTCTAATAGCAGAAAACTACATTTGTGTACTCTAAGCAATTGATTTCAGAGAGCATATTGTTTTTGAATCAGTAGTTTTACCTTTATACTATACAATTTTTTAAGTAGAGGGAAGCACTACTGCAGAGAAAAAAATATACATGAAGAGAGGAGTGGTGCAGAACATGTAATTGAAGAGTTTTCAAGGTATTTTTTCCCAAACATCTTTTGACGTGAGTTGAGCAAGTTTGGCTCAGCATAGAACTGATATGGGAGATCATCCACCAATCAAGTAACACCCTAGATGTCTACCAACTGTTAAACAGGAAAGCATAGGAAAAATTCTAAGGTCATGCAACAAAATGATGTTATTGAGTTTTAAACAAATCCCTAGACATCTCTCATTGTCCTTGTCAGAAACAGAAATGGTTCAAATAGCTATTACGTTAACTATCGCCGGTTGAACAACGCCATGAAAACAGCTAGACTCTTCCTAGAATTGATGACATTCTGGACGCTCTTTCTGGAAACAAGTGATTTTCAACACTTAATTTAACCACGATGACCGAGAAAAGACAGCATTTACTACTGAACAAGGATGTTGGTAGTTCAAGGCGATGCCATTTGGATTATGCAATGTGCCGGCAACATTCCAACATCTCATGGAGACTGTGCTGAGAGGTCATTCTGTTATTCCAGTATATCAGAAGTTAGTCTGATATATCTGGTTTAGGATCATCATTGTCTTGAAAAGTTTCATAGAGCATTTAGAAAATATTAGGACATGTCATCTCTGAAGATATGTGTACAGATCCAGATAACATATCAGCAGTTAAAAATTGGAAACATCCCCAAAATGTCCATCAGCTGAGAAATTTCATGGGGATTTCCCACCTACTATAGAAGATTTGTGAAGGACTTATCTTCCATTGCACTGATAGAGAGCAAGCAAAAGTTCTTGAGACCAAAAGAATATGTGAAGGCATTTTACAAACACATCTGAAACAATCC